TTGAAGTTTCACAAATCAAATAAAAAAAAATCATTTAGATTATAAAAATTGTGAAATCAAAAATTCAAAGCCAACATTTTCATTTCTCATAATGAACAAAGACTACGATGGACTGGCTACCTGTCCAGGGTGTTTCCTGCCTCTCGCCCGTTGCTGGTGCGAGACGGGCACAAATCAAACACAACAAATCGCTTCCCATATCAACACTATTATCATTCTGGCGAAATTTTTCATCCATAAAGCTAAATATCTTAAGGTTAAACCACATTTCTATCATTTTCACAATGACTTTATTTTGTACTGCAATTCTCTTAAAATGATGCACACTAAACATGCCCACAATCTGTGCTCTTTAATTGAAGAGTATGATTTAACATCTAAACCCTAGCCTTTTTTTTTTGTTCTTGTTGTTCCTTATTTTAAAATTTCTTATCTTTATTTGCACCCATCCTTTTTCTGATTTATGCAAGTTTGTTTGTTTGTTTGAAATACGCCTTATTGTTTGTACATTGTATCATTTTGTGTGTTCTTTGTTGTTTAATAATAAAAAAAAAAGATAATCATCACTTCCCTGTCATTACTCTTCTTCAGTGATAGAGCTTGGTAATGTTTCAAACTGTTAAATGCTGCCACCAACTGTTCAGGAGGACAATTACACCCCTAAAAAATGTTTCACTGTGGAAAGGGTGTGTACAGCAGGGTGACCAATGGGGTGGCCAACTATGAAGCAAGTAGGTTTTAAGCAAGCAAGGTAAATAACCTCTTTTCTTCTCTGTCTAACAGCGAAGTGTGGACACTTTGCGAGCAGACACAACAGACAGGTGAGGTTATTTCTTAATGCTGGCAGTAGTTTCTTGTGATTATTCAAATAATGTATTTTTACTTCCATTAAATCCTGATAATCTTCTTGCAGGTTCTCGGGCACAGGGAGTTCAGGAGCTGCTTCCATGAGAAAGGCAAGAGACGAAAGTGCTTCTTGATTTTATGTTGTGTATAAATCAATGCACACCAGTCCTGATTCAGTATAAAATAATGGTCCTTTTTTCAGTAGATTTAGATTTGAGCTCGATTTAATGAAGCAAGACAAGCTTCACTTGCATCAACAATCTCCTAGCAACTACATCCGCTGTTACATGGAGATCAATTGTGTATAAATAATAGATAAACAAGTAACCAGGTAGAAGAAATTTCTGAGATGAAATCCACTGAGAACTGTGATGATTAAATTAAATCAAAAACAGCAATCGAATGAAGCAAATTGGTTTCCATTTTTGGGTTGTTGTGACACACAAGTTGTTTTAGTCATTAATCTTTTCTCTAAAGCTCTGTGAGTTGTGGCCTAGCAGTGACTCAGCTTGGCTGACTGTAAGCAAACATCTACATTTATAGCTAGCTGGCTCATTCAGCAGCGCTTTCCAGTTTTTAAAGGGATCCATTGTAACATCCAGTTGTAAAATTAGACTTTATTTGATTTGCAAAAATTATTTCATTGTTCATTGACAATAAAGATATCTTACTTTATCTTAACTTATCTTGATAAACATATATTTTAATTGTAAAATAAAGACTGTAAAAATACTGTAGGCTGTTTAGTTTTGTAAATTTTAAAAATATATATTTTACCACGGAAAGGGCCATTTTATTTACACACAAAGCATTCTGGGTAAATGATGACGTGGATAGGTCCTCGGTGCGAGGCTGCTAGCGAGCTATATCCACCCTGAAGTTTAATCTTGTTATGCTAGTGCAAAGGGACTGGGAGTGCAAAGGCTAATAGGCTAAGCTGAGGTTCTTCTTCCATGAAGCAGCTCTGTTTGTTGTGTTCGAGCAGAGAAACCTCTAAAATATGCAGAATAGTGGCCCTATTTGATATAGGTTCACAAAGAACAAAGGGGGAGAGGGAGAAAATTTGATTTTTTTTTCTTAGCTTTTTGCTAAAGTTCAATTAATTAAGCTTCAGCAATTCGGTAATTTAGCAATTATTTTGTATTCTGGTAGATGCTAAAAGATGATAGCTGATGGTTAAAAATTAAAAAGAAAAGTTAAACGTGACAAGCAAACTGATTGCAGTGAAGCAACAAAAAAAAATCAAAATGAGGGTTTGTGGAAAAGTTATGAACAACAAAAAAAAATTGCAGGAGATAAATCTTTGATCAATCTGTTTTTCTGTCTGTGTTACCGAGCTAACAGCTTGTTTAAAGTGAACCAATGTCAAAGCGGTTACTGCCATCTTAAAACTAATTCAGTCGCTAAGGTTTCATAGCAGTTGCCAAACATTTTTTAAACATTTACATTTTCTTTTACAGAAATTTAATCTTGTGACTATTTACAGTTAGCTGTAGCTATAGCTGTAGCTATAGCTGTAGTGCAGCCTCAGCCAGGGACTCTTACTGCAGGAATATAGTGAAATTTCTGTCAGAATAGCAGCTTAATGTAAAATTTGCAATGTTTTAAAAGTTCATAAGAGCGATGGCCCACTAAAGTTTTGAGAATTAAGTTGTTGTAAGATGGCAGTAACTTTCTTAGATATTAGCTTCACTAGGATTAGCTGTTAGCTTGTCAGTCAGACTGTCCTTTTCTCTGAACTTAGCAGGGTTGCCAGATTGGACTGACAACTTCCAGGCCAAACGCTACGTAAAACCCGCCAGAAAGAAAGAAAGGAAGGAAGGAAGGAAGGAAGAAAGAAAGAAAGAAAGAAAGAAAGAAAGAAAGAAAGAAAGAAAGAAAGAAAGA